TGGAACAGGATGTGTAAGGGCATGTGATTCCAGCATCCCTGAGAAGCTGCTTTGTGAAACTGCTGTGCTTCATCCATTATTCTTTCATTTTACATCGCAAGTCAAATCAGGACTTGAGGCACAGCTGAAGGCAAATGGGATGGGGGCAGGAGGCTCAGACTGGCAGAGGAGGGCACCTACCAAAAAGCTCACACTCCTTTCAGCAAGGCAGCAGAGAGTGAGGAAAGGCTGGAGCATAGCAGGAGGTGCAGATAATAGCAGTAAATGCTGCATTTAATCACATTGTGCAGTGGGGTGGAAATGAAGTCTTACTCTGAGGTTATAAGTGAAATACAAAGAGAAGTGAAAGGAAAGAAAGCACTGGGGGAAGAGAGCAAAGAGGGGGAGCAGGGCAAAGGGGGGGAGAGGAGACCAGGGGGAGCAGGGCAAAGGAAACAATTCAGGAGTTAAGTTGTAAAAGCAGCAGCAGAGGAGGCTTACATGGCTGGAAGCCATCACCAGGACCATCCCACTATCACCAAAGGAGTTTTCCCCCATGGGGTGGAAGCTGCCCACAGCTGCAGTGCAAGAACAGGAGCAGGGGTGTGCTCTGCAGTGTTTGGGTCACAACTCTGTTGCCTTAAGGGAGTTGGGGGAAGCAAGGTGTAGCAGCAGCCCTGGGATAAAGTTTGTCTTCAGCCTCTGGAAATGGTTGCTACTGGTGAGAAGAAATTAGATTTTCAGCCTCCTCATGGTTCATGTGTTAATCTGATGTTGAGATATCACTCTGAATATTTCACCACAGTGTGATTTGACCATAGACAAGATGCCTGGATATCCCAAGGTGTGTTGGTAATAATGAACACCAGCAGCTGGGTAATGCCTGATATCTGATTCAAGCCACTGGCAAAAATTCATTCTTTCTATTTTTTGGTAGCTACTGGTTTTGATAATACTATATTTTATAATTGCTGAAGCAGCTGAGTTTGGTTATGTTGCTGCAGTTTTGTGTAATTACTCTCCATCACTATAATTTTTCTTTTAGTTAAATGCATTGGAGGTTATAAACTCTTAACTATCAACTGTAAATATTCATGGGGAGTGAGAATAGTTCTAACTACCATAAAAGCTTTTTCCCAATAATTTTGGCTAGTGCTCTGTATTTACACAGGTTGCTTTGCTGATGGTGTTATGGCATAAGTAGAAAAAAAATATACATATCACTTCAAGCAACAGCCAGTCATAGCCCCAGGTCCCCTGTAGTCTGCTCTGCTGAGAATTCTGGGCTGCTCCACAAAGGGCAGGAAGGAGAGGTCTCCCAATGTGAATGTGCTATAAAACAATATTGTGTTTCCCTTAAGAATTGCAGTGATAAAAACATAGCCCATTCTGCAGCACTAGCAACTTTAATAAAATAACATAAAGCACAGCTGTCAGGTCTGCCAGCATCTCACACTGGGAGACATGAGTGAGAAAATTAACACTTTTCACAAGCAGAAATATTCAAAGAGCTCCACTGTTTACATGTAATCAAGACTGACAGTCATAGATTATCGGTGGAAGAGCATTTTCTGCTTGAGGTGAAAGAAGAGGATAATTTATCAGGAAGCCCAAGAAGTCAGACATCAGTAATAATCTGCTTGAAGAAGGGCATATCTTAGAAATAGTGCATTTATTTGTACTGCAAGGCAAGAAGATGTTTGGAGTTACAAACACGAGCCTTGGTGCTTGAGGAATGTTGAGCAGATCCAGTGTGTAATTTGCTGGGCAGCTGTGATTAGAGACCTGACTAATGTGTGTCCCAGTGCTGGTTCAGAATATTAAAAGAAAAATTTAGCATAATACAGATTGTCTAAAAGAGCTGCTTGTGCTCTCTCATCCTGTTCCCTCCTTTGGGAGTTGTCCAGGCTCTGCTGAGGGCGTTGCTCACCTTCCTGCTGATGCTCAGGATTCAGAGATGCTCCTGCAGAATCTCTATAAACAGGTTGGGTTTTAGAGAATTTGGGGCTTTTGGAGTTTTGCAGTAAAACATTTTGTCCACCTGGTGCAATGCTTTTGCATCACCTTCCTCTTATGAAAACAGGCCAAATATCAGCTGCTTTAAAATGGTAACTAATTTGGAGCCCTACAGAAAAGGTTTTATAGGCTCACCTTGCCTTGGTGTGCTGTGAGTTTGCAGAAGTAGGATTGTTGTACAGAAAGTAGCACAAACTTCAACTAGTCTGTGTTTGGATATATCTGAATAAGGATGTCAGCTCAACTTACCCAGCTTTTACTCTGACAGGGGTAGGAAAGATGGATAAATCACTATTTTTAATGAATTGATATCTGGCAAATAGAGGCACTTTTTTGCCATTTAGGTTGAGCAGAACCTTGGAGTGTTCTCGAGGTGCAAGACAGTGTTGCTTCCTCAGCTTAATCCAAACTTTCAATACAAGTCAGATGGTTGCAAAGATTCACAGCTGGGACTTGGATGTGTGTGTCAACATGAGCACACTCTGAGGCACAGAAGTCCCCAAGAAACAAGTATCAACTGCTATGTTTGTTCCCCACCTGAATTCTAAATCAGTACAATTTATAACTGAAATATCTATGTTCTCCTCTCCTGAATGCAGCTTTACAACTTTTCAGCCATGTTCAGTTCTCCCCATGAGGGCCTCTGTAAGCTACTTTTTACTTTTTTTTTTACTTTATGTAAAATCATACTTTATGTAAATTTTTTACTTTATGTAAAATGTTTTTGTTTGTTTTAATTAAGAGAGATTAAGACAGTCTCTGTAGTATTTTGGCTAGGCTGCTCTGTGTCCTGGGGCTGTGCACTGGCAGAAGGGCTGCTGGGCTTCCAGGCAAGTTTCAGGCTTCATTGCTCCTCTCCATACATCTGTTTTAACCTCAAAGATTGATTATTTTTAAAGGTTAGCACTTATGTAGCAGAAGAAACCCTCACCTTTGCCAGCTTTGAGAAGTCACTGTGGTCTGTAACTGCACAGTTTTAATTTAGACAACAACAACAGCCATTGCAGTTTAACCCTCCTTATTACCACTCACTTCAGTTTTCTTGAACAGGAAAAAAAAAAATCACCACCTACCAGTCACACCCTCATTTCACCAGTCTCCACATGGAGCCAGCTCTCACCTGGATTGTGCAGAAATGAGAGAGAAGGGAGAGCAGCAGCCAAACCATATCACTGAAAGCAACTCTTCTGGGTAAACAGAGAGACCTTGAGGAACAGGGACAGCTCTCCCTTGCCTTCCAGCTTTTGCCTGTTGCACCTCCTACCAGCATTAGGTTGAATCAAAACTCTGCTTTTTTCAGAGAACAGCTCACACCTCAGTCAGATTTACCTCCCCTTGCCTTGTCCTGGTGCATTCTCTTGTGAGGTGTGAGCATTCCCAGTGCACAGAAAGCACAGGATTATGGATGCTCTTTCCAATAACTCATGGCCAGGTCAGCTGTGGTGCCTCCACACCCTGTGGGTGTGAGCAGAGGGTGACAGAGACCTGGGGACCCAGGGCTGACAATGTGTACACTGCACCAGTCCCTGCCTTTTGAATCTTTCTCTCTCATTCTGTGGCATTATTACAAGATGGATTTATAACATACTTAGCACTAATGTAACAATGAAGATTAGTCTTCTCTGAGTCGAGCAGTAATACACTTTAATTTGCCTACAGCTACTGCATTGTATTGGCATGAAAGGAAATGATTTTCTAATGCAGCTTTATCTGCTGAGCAGGGGGAAATCTGTGCTGCAGGGTATACAGCTACATGGGACTCTAGCTGGCAGCAAAATTCAGAGTAGGAGAAACACAGCATAAATGTGTTTGTGAGTTGGAGGTGTGCTAACAATCTTAGTTTATTGCTAAACATTCCATATCCAGTAATGCACTTTGCTTGGAGCTTCATCATGGCTTCATCTTTGTTTTTTCACCACTTCATCTTCTACACTATAATTTTTCCTGGAATAAGAAATTCAATTAGTTTTCAATTCATTAGTTTTCAATTTTTCTTTTTTTGTGACATTAAGAGGAAGTTGGTGATATGAAGTTCCTTAGAAGCACTGGTGCTGTTAATGCAGTCTGTGCTGTGCTCTAAACCTAGGGAACCACTGGAATCTCAACACTTGATCTGTTAAGTAAATGTTTCTGCTGTCTGGTGTAACTGCTGCCTTCACTTGACAAGTGTCAGGCGTTCTTTGAAGGGACATGTGCACAAACAGTCACTCAAGTGCCAGTATTTACCCTAATGTGGAACTTCCCTCTTCAGGAAAGCAGCAAAGCTGTCAGCTGCTCCCTTCTTCTTGAGTGGCAAAGGAAGAAATTATCATGTCTGGGACAATCTCATGTAACAGTTCCTGCATATGGGATAGAGCAAATTTTTGTGGGCATAGTGTGCCAGTTGGACACAAAAATTATATGTTTCTTATACTTTTTTTTTTCCCAAGAAATCAATCAAATATAATTATGCTTAAAATAGCAGGTTTTGTTTCTAGACCAGGGATGTGTCTTGCTTTCAGCAATGGCAGGGAAGGATTGATAACTTGCATGCAGAGAAGGAATGAAAAAAAATATTAATATAAACTCCTGGTGGGAAACAATTGCAACAGGGCCTTGTTATCACAATAGGTCTTTGATAGGAAAGTTGGGCAGAGGAAATGACAGAGAGAAAAATTCACAGGAAATACTGACAAGGTGTCCAGCTCACTCCACTGCTTCAAAGGATGCTGAGTGTTTTCCCACTGTTTTACCTGCCAGTTTTGCATCAATTGCCTACAAAGTGTCTGAGCATCAGCCCACAGAGCTGAGCCTGTCCCTGCCTGTCACACCCTGGCACCTGGTGCTGTCCTGGTAAATGCAGCCACTGTCACCACTCTAAACCAGCAACCTTCACCTTTCCTCTCTTCATTACCAGGTTCATCCATCCTGAAGGCACATGGAAGAGTTAGATTGATTGCCCTTAATTTGAAATCAAAACTGAAAAAATAATAATCTGATTTTTTTTTCTTGTCTCCCTCAAAAAGCTGCAGCGCCACGACAAAGATGATTCCCCTGACAAGTGGAGGACAGAAGAAGAAATGGCAGCTGAAGCAGAAATTCTGAAGAAATATTTCCAGGAAAATTAAAGGTAATGATCTCAACATTGACTTAGTCCTGCAGCACCCAAGCCTTTGCTCAAACCTCCAGAGGCTTCTTGAAGGCAACAAGGCAAATATCTAGAATGAAACAAAAGAAAGCAAAGCTCTTAGTTTTGTGTTGTTTCCAAAAGGTCACAGCACTCCAGCAGTGGCTGAAATGAAATGCTCCTTCTTGAACAATCAGCACCATCCTACAGCATTTTGTTTCCAGACAGCAAAAATAATGGTGCATCTAGAAATGAGAATCATCAGCATTTACTTAAGAGGAGTCTTTAACCTAAACCTCTGTTTTAAGGACAGAAAACAGCCCTAATACCTCTACACAGAGCTAAAACTGATATGTCTGTGTACAACATATGCATATGCACCTATACATACAAAATTGCATCAGAATTCAGACTATAGACGGCATAAATTATAACCTCACCTGTCAAGTATTAACTTATTTGATCAGTTCAACTTCCAAAACCAAGCCTGCTGGAAAACTGCCTGTTCTGCTAAATTTTCCACTGACCTTAAAAGAAAAAGAAAGATTTGCAGGGAGGAATAGAAAAGAGAAAACACTTGGCAAACACTAACATTGGTGCTCTAGAAATTGAGAGTTTTTCATTTTGTACCTGGAGTCCCAGGAGCCAGATTCTTCCTGCAGAAATGAACTGGCCCCTGGAGATCAATGTGAGTTGAGCTGGGATGTAATACTGCAGCAAGGATGCCAAATCTCCCGCTCCCCTGCTCCCCATATGCTGTTTGCCATCATCCAGCACTCTCACTTCTCTGTCATTTCTGGCTGTTTCATGTTTTTCCTCTGTAGAACCAAAATCCCAGAAATAACCCTCCTTTCTCTCTATGACTCACTGCTTGCAGCCTGGCTTGAGAAATCTTGAGCTAAACCCCACATTGTATGGGTGGCACACTGAGGTGGCAGCTCTCATCTCCTGTGCCATTCAAATGGCAAACTGAAATGCTTATTTGGATGGCATTTTGGATGACTCCATTTGGAGTTCCTCAGATTTCCCCTTCCATTTTTTTTTTCTTGCATCGTGACCATGCTCTTGTCTCCTCCAGCCGAAGTAGCTGTGCCAGCCCTTCTGTGGGTGCACAGAAAAAGCCATGGAACACATTTATTCCCATCTGGGGAGGAAATTCCTCCCCAGCAGCTGGCACCTCCAGGGTTTGGGCTACACAGTCACAGTTCTGCAGGGGCTGCTGGAGTTGCACTTAGACACCCACTTCTCACCTTCTCAGAAATATGCTGCTGAAATGTGAATTACTCAGGCAGGAAGAGCATATCCTTGGTAATGCATGTGTAAGCACTCTGCTCTAACAGAGGCATTATGTGGTGCTTCATCTATGGCCCAGCAACCAATGAATAGTACTTAGGGGAAAATGGCACATCCCTATTCCAGTGTGATATTGTTTCCCTTTATTGATTTGGTAGGTTTTGGGGGGATTTTTTTTTTTTTTTGGTCAGAAATAAATTGGAAATGCCTTTTTTTCCTTGAGATTCTCAAAGGGGCTGAAATTAAATCCCCACATATCAATAAAATGTTCTTTATTTCTTCTGATACTAAACACAAGCTGGATAGATGATATAAATCCTTTCCTGCAAGCAAATTAGTGTGGCTGGAGGTCTATTTCCATTTATTATGAAAATGAGTCAGTGTGTGTCTGCATGGATGACCTCTTGATACGTTTCCCGTGATATTAAGGTCATTACCTTTCCTAGAACAAACTGGTAAATTAAATCTTCCTGGCATCATTATCATGAGAGTGCCTAGTCCTTCCAACCCTTGATTCCCAACATCAGGCATCACTGTCAATCTCTTCTCCCCAACATTATTTTGCTTCTGAAGTTTAATGCTCTGAACCTGAGATAAAGATATATCTATGCATTCTGCATTTCTCAGCCTTTGTCTTCTCTCTTAACCTTGCTTCTAAAGCAATGAAGATGGAAAACTTTTGGCAAATTAACAAGGTTATATGCATCCTTCTTTGAAGCCATTTTTGCATTTCACCTACAAAGGATTTATTTTGCCATTTGTGGGTTTACCTGGATGACACTTGACTTGAGGTTTTTTCATGCAGCATGGGGAAAGTCAGAAAGAGCTGAATGTGGGTGTTCTGCAGCCAATAAATAGCAATTTTTAAGGCTTCATGCATTATTTTTGTGCTTCATTGTTTTATTTAAAGAAGCCCAGCTTAGCCAGCTTAGCCTGGGCAGACCAAGCTGTGTTTTAGGGCTTTTCCAGCTACCCTCACATTTATCACAAGTCCTTCTCCACCTGCCATAACTCCTGTATGACTGGACAAGGTCCAGTAGCACCTTTTACATGTATTTAGAGACTATCTAATCAAGAAGGACTTGCAAGTAACTTTTTCCTAATAAATACTTGAGTAAGGCAAGCAGCTCTTAGTTCTCTCCCTACTTCATTTGCTGGTGCTGATCCCTCTTGGCTGAATAACTACAGTTAAGTGCTTCTACATCAGTCCCCAGATGACCCAAAATATCCACCCACTTGCTTAAGGAAATGAACACATTTAGCCTTGCTAAGTTTCTACCCTTGAGAAAAGGCTTATCTTTAAATATTTTATCTGTGTGTGCAATATCAGCGAGTGAATTTGTGCTTTGCATGTGTTTCTGCTCTTCCCCTGGGTGTCCCCATGCCACTGTGTCCCACGTCATTAGAAGGACTTGTTCTTTCTGCTCACAGAACTGTGCCTGCAGAGCTGGAGCTCAGGAGAACTTCATGTGGCTCTGGAAGAAAGAAAGAAAAACTTTCTAGGGGAGGAGGATATTTAATATAGAATTTCCCCAGTTAGTCACTCTCTTGTGAGTAGCACCAAGATTTTACCTCTTTACAGCCTCTTTGGGAGCTGTTCCTCATTCTGTCCTCTGGTCAGCTGTGTTTGATAACTTGGTTGCTTTTTGAGGTGGATGCACAGGGAAAAGGTCCCTACTCAAAGAGCAGGATTTGATGCAGCACCCTAATTTCCAAGCCTATTTTCAGATGTGCCTTTTGAATTTTCTAGCTATGTATAGCTGGGTGTTTTGATAGTCTGTTTTGAGCATTTTAAATTGCACATGCCAGCAAAAAGGCTAAAGATTAAAAGACTTTAACCTTCAGATGGTATGTGAAAAATGTTTCTCTTCAAAGGCAGCTTCACTCTGTGTTGTTATTTCTGAAGAAAGAACCAGGCTGTACAAGTTTCAGTAGTTTTCCTATTTTGTGCATAACTGAAGTAATACTTTCATGCCATTAGAAAAGTAGTCAGTTTTAAGTACAATGTCAAAATGTCCCTTTGCATAAAGAAGTTGACAGTGATATTCTGTTGCCAAGTGCTTGGAGTTACAAATATTCAATAGCTTTTAATTGCTTAACCACCTGAATATTTTGCATACTGCAACATGCCAAATTCTTGTAGAAATCCCTTCAAATAATGTGTCCTGCACAGTCTTGCAGGATTTCTGATGTCAGTTCTCCCCCTTGTCCCCAGTCTGGCAATGTTTCTGGAGAATATAGTCTTTCCAGCTTTTCTAAAAAGTATAAATTTTATTCCTTTTTTCCCCACTCATTCTTTGAGAACACTCATCCTTCCTCACAGCTGCCTGATCTGCACCAAGATTCTGCATGTGTGAAAAAATGCAGTTCTATTGCCTTCAGCAGGGAAATTACCCCTGATAGCAGCAGCTGGCCAGGGGGGAATTTAAACTGGCAATTTGACTTGCATCTGATGCTGCTCCAGCACCTCTGGAGTGTGACAATCCATGCTGCATGCACGAGAGTGAACACCAGAGCAATCCCATCACTTCCCTTAAATTGAGGCAAGTATACAAAATGACTTGCAACACCCATCTTTGCTTGTTTTACTGTAAGAAAAACCCTCCTATCATTTCTGGTACTTTAAACTGCACAGACCCACAAAGAAATGGCTGTGTCTGTGATCCAAGGGGTGCATCTGGGATGCAGTGAGGACAGTCTGTCCCAGAAGATGCTGTGCCTGCACTTGCAGAGCAGGCTGTGCCCTGGGTGGGCACCACAGGCATGGTCAGGGGTATTTTCTGCACTTGGTGCTGCCTGTTGGCAAAGCAGGCAGCTTTGAGGAGCATAGCAGGCTGAGCCATGGGAAATGGGAGCAGGGACAAGGCTGCAGCAAGCACAAACCCTCAGTGTTTTCAGAGCCTCACTTGTTAAAGCAGGGCAACCTTTTGAGTGCTTACACTGGAGTCAGAGCCAGTGGTGCCAGGGCTGGGCAGTTCCCAGAGGACATGGTCTAGGAGCTGTTTGTGTGTAATCCTGAGGTAAATACACATCCCAGTAATCTGCTATAGATTCCTCTGCACTCCAGACTTAAGTGCTATTAATTATATCCCCCACTCAGAAGCCTCCAAGAAGCATTAATTAGAAAGCAGGAGCTGGCAGTTTTCTTGCCTGTGTGAAACTATTATGACCTGAGAATGAAGTATAAGCTTCAAAAGAAACACATTTTATGAAGGTCACCTTGAAAAATATCATAAAAATCTGTCAGAAGAGAATGCAGCATTCCAAGTGTGCATTTCAGTGTGACATTATGCTTTAAGTAGTTGGAAATAGCAAAGAGAAGATGGATCAGATCATGGGGTCTGTGCTTTTCCACCCAAAATTCTCTTTTTTCTGCAGTAAGTACATATACAGTAATGTTTTTGTCATTTCAATGGGATGCAAGGAAAATTAATTATCAACACAAATCCAACAAACATAATCTGCCCTTGCTGGTATTTTTTAAGTGTAAAATATCCAAACTCTCCAACTCTGCAGCAGGGAGAAGGTTTATACAGGAATTACATTACCTCTTCAAGGTGTAAACAGCCAGCAGTGGTGCAGTGACTGCTCAGCAGTGACACCCAGCCTGGAAAGCTCAGGGCAAAAGGCTTCCCCAAATAAATGTGCTGTGCTAATGCACAGCAGCCTCAGTGCTGAGGCTGATTATTTTTCTGGTTGAAGCATGTGATTATTTCTTATGAAAACAGAGCTACAGGAGAGCTAGCTAGAGTTATAAATGAAATGTCATCCTCTTGTGAGAGGCAGTGATGTCCCCCTCATACACTTGCCAGGGCTCTGTTTTGAGGCTGGAAGCAGTACTGTCCTGAAAGTTATACACCTCATTCTCTGGACTTTATATATTATTATACAAAGTTATTTCATTTCCCTATAGATGGCCATTTAATTCAGCTATCCAGTACATGAATTCCATAGAGCACTGCTTGGATCCTGTAATTATGGCTACAGTAGAAACATCAGGGCCAGGGACACAGACACGATTGTAGAGCAGAAATGCAAAGCAGCAAATGTGCTACTGTTGGTGAAGGAAGCTGACAGCCAAATGTTCTCTTAACCTGCACATCCACATCCTGAATGCCCACCTGGCTGCCTGTCAAAATCAAATATTGTCAGTGGGATCAGTTCTTGATTCATCGTTGGCTTGGTGTGTCACATTGTATGAGAGGAAAATGGGGAAGCTGAGCTTGGTGGTGGACATTTGCCTGAGGACCTGGGGTGAAAGAGCTGAGGTGCAGGACAATGCTGAGCTTCAAATAAGGATGATATCAACTGTGACTGGGCATTTTTACACCCAAACCTGTGCTGAAATGGTGCTAATCTCTTGCCCCCAAAGCTGCCAGAGGATGCTCCTCGCGAGCAGCCAGACCCTCCTCGAAGCAGATTCACAAAATCCGTGCCAAGCGATTCACAGGCTGCCATCGAACTGTCACTCACCAGGGGCTCACAATGGAAACTGTTGCTCGAAATGCCGTGGGAATGGGAAACATATGTTTCAGAGAGAGAGACAATCAAACAGAGGAGTGGGTGGCTGGGGAATTGCAGCCACAACAGCGGCGAGAGCTGAGCCCTGCGCGCAGCCCCGGGAGTGAGTTCGGGGCCGTGCCCTCATCCAACACTTGGGTAACAGTTCTGTGTTTAATAAGCTGAGATAATTTCCCCAGTGTTGAAGCCAGCTCTAAACATGCTCTGAAGTGAAGGTACAAAACTGAAGATACCAAGCCAAAAGCCTATTTCATGCTCCATTATTAGCAAAGGTTTGTATGGTGGTATCCTGTTGCTGTAGCTGCTGCATAATAGAACTGCCCAGAGAGACATTGGAACCAACAGCTCAACATGACCTCAGAGCTTCAGCACTGCCTTTGTGTGAGTGTCGGTATCCAGGCTGTGTAGGTGGAAAGGCATTAATAACTCCTGCAGTAAGTAGTTATTTGAGAAGGGAAGGGGGTGATGGATGTTGGAAATATGTTGGACTGAGCGTACTTGAGGCTCTGTTGTGTGCCAGGGTGTCTCTACACAAAAGCAGAGGAATGTCAGGGATAAACTCAAATGCCCCACTTGTGTCAGCACCTGGGGCTGCTGCAAGCCTCCAGCTGCCACTGCAGTAGCACCTGTGCCATGGGTTTGTGCAGGGATTTCACACACAGCTTCCACGGCTTCAGGCGCGCAGGATTTCTATTTCTCTGCTACAGGAACACCTTCACATCTGTCATGGCACCTATTACAGGGCTTTTACTAGGATGGACCACCAAGAGATGCATAAAATTGGAGCAGACATGGCAAGAAATGCCCCATCCATTCTCCAGCGTGGGGGCATTTTCTGGGTGATGGTCCCAAATCACTGGTGTGTAATTCCTTGGCATTAGGCAGAGTCCCACCACATGGTCAGGATGGAGGAGGATAAACAAGAGATGATAGTCTTGAAAGATTATTTGTGGGAGTTTATATAAGAGATCATGAGCCCCAAAGAGTCTTGCATGAGGCTATTACAGCAAAATAGATTTGAAGAGTAAGAAGCTGGATTTGATGACACAAGATGCCCTTTCTAATCCTTTGTTCCTATGAGGAGCGGTCAGCAGAGCTGGGGACTGTGCTGTCTCACTCAGGGACATCAGAGAGATGGCCTCACTTCATGTTTGTTTTTTGTAAAATGATCCTGACCTCTGTCCAAGGGTGCTTTGTGAGTTGGGAATGAAAAGCCTGATGTGAAAGGCAGGCATTACTATTATTTGCAAGTGCAGTTTATTGAAAAAGCAGATAAGAAATAGGACAAATCTCTTTCTTACTCTGGTAAATAATTTTAAAATAGTTCTGTGCAAGGCTTTTCTCCTTCCTCTGTTCCAGGGGCTGTAATGGGAGCTGCAATGAGCTGTGTGGGGGTTTAACACTGAACATTTCCTTTTGCCTATTGCTGTCAGTGACTCCTGTCAGAACACACTAATGAGCACCTAAGTCGTTAGTAATAAACAGCCTCACATTTTGTCTTACTAACAAAGATCAAAGCTGCTATTATATGTAATGATCTGTTATGTTTGATACTTCTCAGGTAACAAAGTGCTTGGAACACATCCCACGACACCAGAAAGTCCCCAGAAAGAACAACCTCATTCTCCAGTTCTCAGTGGCCCTGGAGCTGCAGCTTGACAATTTTATTATATTCTACAAATATGGGATTCTTCCATGAAAAATTTTATTGGACCTTTGGATATCATCAAGGTTGAATTCCAGCTAAGACAACTAAACAGCACTGGTTCAAACTATTGCTCTGAATTGTAACTCATATTTTTCTGAATTGTCTACTTGGGAATGAATCTTTTTAAATTGTCCCTTGGCCTAAATAGAAATAAAGTGCCAGGAAAATCAGGTAGCTACTATGTTTAGGTACATTATAAAGTGTTTACTCCATGTTGTGCTCTTTGATTCAGTTACTGTACGTAGGCTATTTTATCATAGAAAAATTAGATTTTTTAGCAGTGTGGCAATTCATACAAACCCAGACTTTGTTACAGACTAGCCAAGATAAACTTGGAAAGCTGCTTTTTCTTCAGGTGAGTTCTATACCAAGAAATATTAAGCTTCCTGAGATCTTTTTTTCTCTGTTCTTTTAATGCATTATGAAAAGGCCTCTGGAGTTTTAAGGGATACAAAACACTTCTGTAAAACAATTAATATGGGAAGTTGCTCATGGGATAGTAATCACATTAGGATTAGGCTGGCAGGAATGGCTGCTCCCAGCCACAAACAACACATGGAGCAATCCCTGGGCAAGAAATGCTGCGCTCAGAACCCTGCACAGGAAGAAACCCACTGTGGGTTAGTTGTTGATTGCAGGAAAAGAAGTCAAACAACAGATGGAAGAGAGAAGAAATGAGTCTGTAAGATGTGCATGAAAAGAGCGCCCATAATCCTCCTCTGGAAATGCAGGGAAGCAAAAAACAAAAGCTTTCTGTGTCCCACAAAGTCAGGATGAAAACAAAATGCCCCCAAATCTTTCAGTAAGAATCATGCTGAGGGAGGCCATGGGTGCAGAGCCTGCCAGAGGAACTGAGGAGGTCAGGCAGGTCCCAGCCAGAGCCTGGTGGAGCTCTGCCTGCCTGGCAGCACAGTGTGATCATGTTCAGAACAAATTCAGCTGCTCCATGATGGTCTGTCCTGGAGGGTTACAGCCTGACCTGAGCACTATGACAATGCACAATGGATGAGTTCTCACCATTTTCACCAAGTCTCTCTCTGCTCTCTACTGCAGAGCCATGCAGTCCATTGGCTTGAAGTCTTTATGCTTGTCAAATTTAAATAGAAATACTACAGCAAAATCACTCATATTTGATTCCTGGTTTTACTGTCATGCTATTTAAATATTGCCCCTGAAAACCACTTTGATTCAAAGACTTACCATGACCCAGTCTGGCCCCCAGTATCTTGCATTAGCCCTTTTAAAAACTGTACAGATTGTAACACTATTTCTTTTTCTGTGCAGAAAAAATGAAAAGTCCATTTTGATGGAGTCTGCACTTTTTAGACCCTGAGCAAGGGCTGAATAAACAGGAAATGAAGGTCAGGGAGCAAGAAACAACAGAGAAGGTAAGGTGAGCAGACAGACTGGTGAAAGATGCTGGCAAATGGGCCAACATAAATGGTTGTCCTTTTGCACTTCAGCATTTCAAGTTGCTGTGATTTCACACAGAAGGAAACAATGGTTGTGCTGCTGGGGAACGCTAAAGAAAAACCTCAGCATCAGTTACATTTTCAAACCTGCTGCTCAATGGTTTCCTATTTATTATGGAATATTCTGTATTAATTCTGTAGCCTGTGATGAGCAGGCTCTGTGCCAGCCATCCTGCATGGGGGCTGCAGAGCAGATGAGTGCTGAGCTCCATGGAAGATTTCATTTGTGTAAATGAGGAGCCCGTTATCACAGCACTAAAGGTCCTGGTTTTAAAAAAGGCCTCCTGTGACATTATGCACAAAACAACCTCTTTATGCAGCATGAAAATATTTATGTGCTTCGCTCCAGCTTAAAAATGGAATTTGCAATAGATGAGGGACATGAGAAAGGATTGGAGAGAGAGATAAGGAGAGATTAGAAAAGGCAGATCATGAAGTACATGACATCCTGCAGCAGTATGTGGAGTAAACCCTCGTGGTTTTTTTAAGATATGGACCTTGAAGATGCTGTCTGGATCATTTATATATTCTTACAGAGTTAATTTTCCACGGGCAAGGAGCTGTATGCAGAAGGTGCCATTGCTGGAAATGTGAGGAGATGCTGTGCTGAAGACACTGATGAACTTTGTAACCATCTTTGTCCTTTTCAGCCTTCATCTCTCACCCTCATGGGGGTCATGCCTGGGCTGGGGAATGCTGCAGTGCTGAGCTCCCTCACCCAAAGCAGGAAACACAGGAAAACCCACCAGTACAGGGGCTCAGATGGACGTGGCACAAGAGGAGTCGTCCCAATGGGGTGGCTGCATAACAGGACAGAGCTCAGACCCTCATTCCCTGTCTTTACACAGAAGGAAATTTCCCAGATTTTTTCAATTCCTAAGAGCTTTTCCTGAAGCAGCAGTTCCTCTGAAGGGCTGCAAGGGCTGTGTGCCTCTTTATCCATGAGTAAACCAGATATGGTTCAGCCACAGCTCTCCTCACTGACTTGTAGGAGCAGCCTGGGAGCTCCACACGTGCCCTGAGTGCCCTGGAACTTGCAGAAGAGGTGACTCAGGACACACACTGGAGAGCAGATGGGTTATTGGGAGCTTGATCTGATGGGGACACATCAGCCCATCCACTGCCATGCCAGGCAGCTCCAGTGCCTTCAGCAAAGGCTGTGAGTGCAGCATGGGGATGTTTGTTATTTGTCTTTCAGCAGTTCAGCATTGCTCTTGCTCCAGGTGCAGATGTACGAGCTCCAGGTTCTCCCAGGCAGCCCAAAATGGGTGTGAGCTGACAGATGAATGGGCTGGGGATGGGCTGTGTCAGCTCCTTGAGGACATTGTGTGTTAATTCAGAAACCTCTGCTGCTTCCAACCTCCCCCAGCACACACTCACCCACCCCCCAGGTATCAGGCTCTCTTTTGATGCTGTGCTTGAATAAGCCAGTGTTTTGTTTTTAGGTAATGTTGGAGAAGAGGGAAATGTTCTGCTGGCTCTGTGGGAGTCTGACTGGGCTGCAGGCTCAGGCTGATGCCAAGACAGCAGGTCCTGGCTGCAGTGGGGGGATCAAGGTCAGCTCCTGGCATGTGACAGTACCCTGAAATGTGGCCAGGGACTGAGCACTGCTGAAATAAAAATACCTGAATCCACGTGGAATCCAGGGTGATCTCATACCCAGCCATAAAGCAATAAAAATCTAAATGCCCAGTACCCACAGAGCTAATGAAAAACTCTCAAGCCCAAATACCCACACAGTGACAGCCATGAAAGTTCCAAAATAATTCCTATGCCAGCTTTCTGTGTCCTCCCATCCACTCCCCAGCTCTCACTGTCACTGTGGTCGATGGCTGCTGAAAAGCCTTGTCCAATTCCTGCATCCTGATGTGCAGGCCAGCAGCTCTGTGAAGGAGAAAATGCTGCTGCTCATGTAAGCTGTCCTGTGTGTTGGCAGGGCTGTGAGTTTCAGAGCAGAGTGATATATTTCAGCTCTTGTGAAATTTCTGAATAATCAGCTCATCAAAAAATATCATGCAGAGTTCCCTTGTAGTCCTTTCCAACTTGCCACCTCTCCCGCCAATAGCTCTGTAGGGTGACCACAGCTTGGCAGAGCCCATTAGCACAGCTCTGCACAATCACTCATGAGGAGAGCTGGCTGGAAAATACACTGCTCCCTCCTGAAAAAAAAAAAAAAAAGAAAAAAAAAGAAAGAAAAAAGATGAGGTGGGGCAGAGGGTGTGTTTGAAGATGAAGATTTTTCCCACTTCTCTCTCCAGAACCCTCTTCTGCTCCCCCATTGCTCCTCACCTTTTTTCCTCCTTTGACTTCAGAAAATAAAAATTCTGCTTAAAGTAGCAAAGACATTGGATGCTGTTTGATCTGCTGGTGATTCCTCCTGGCCCCCAGGCTTGGACTGGCACCAATGCACCTTCTCCACCAGAGACTCCTGAGCAAGTTGTCCTCGGACCTGAACATTTTGCTGCGACTGCCCAGTTTCTTCTTTGGAGTTTCTTAAGCAGATATTCTTGAGATAGATTTCTCTCCTTGAGCAGCACAGCAACCTGCTGTTTGGGCATCTGGGAGCTGGTACCTTGTCTCTGTGCATGGTGAGATGGGGGATGCTGGAAGGGCCTCAGTGCTGCAGAGACCAGGGGCTGAGCAGCCAGAGTCCCTCCAGCTGCTCCTCACAGACCTGGGCTGCCTCCAGGCATGCCCCCTGTGTTTCCCACTCATTGCAGACAGCTGTTCCCAATCCCAGGTGAACATGGCTTTGGCTGGGGAGAGCAGAGTCCCTCTGTGTCCCCTAAGGATGCTCAGCTGCTGCACTGTGGGGAGGGGGCTGCAGAACCCCCTAGGGCAGGTGGCAAACAGGTCCTGCAGAGGAAGGTGGTGCAAAAATCAGTGGTTAGTGCACTGGGATTAAAGCTGTGGCAGGAAAGCCTTGTACGGCTCAGGTTATTATAATTTTTTAATATTTTTATTATATTTTATAATATTTTTTTGTCTGTGGTAGCTGCATTGGCTGTGACACTTGGTGCAACTTGGGTTTAGTACTTGTGTCACATTGCAGACCCTGTGTGGGACCAAACTGCGTCCATCAGCAGCAATGGCTCCAGCACAGGTTTCCTGTTCTGCCCTCCTGGCTCTGTCCTGACCCACCTGCAGCTGCCAAGCATTTGCTCTGTCCCTCTCTACTTGTGTCACCATACCTTTCTGCTCGGGCTTTTGTCATGTCTTTTGTCACCATAGTGACAGGAAAAGAGTGATGATTGCTGGAGTAATTTCCCATATTAGCTAGCACTGGCTTTTCAGCCTAAATCAGCACTTCATTTTCCCTGTGCTCTGGCTGAGCATCACTGGGGAGCAGTGGCACCATTAAGGAGCAGTGGCAGAGGAGCCTTGGTGTGTTGTGGTGCTGCCAGTGCTCCCTGGGGACAGCCAAGGCAGGGACAGGGCCTTCAGGTCACCTCATGTCCCACCAGGAATGCAGAGAGAGAAGGGGAAGACAAAAAAATGTATTTGCAAAGGTTTCTCTCTGAGTGCATTTGCTCATTCTCAAGGTCAATAAAAGCAGGAATTTGGGCACTTGCACCTGTCCTGGGCAATAGGAAGAGCTCCCCAGAGGGGAGTGCTCTCCCTCACTGATACAGTGAGTGGGAAAAGAACAAAAACCCCCCTGTGCCCCCAGGCTGTGCCCTCTGCTCTGCACAGCCCCAGCCTGGGCTGGGACCAAACCTGGGCTCCCAAGGGGTGCTCAGTGCCAAATCCTGCTCTCTGCCAGGCCCCATGAGCCATGCAGTGCATCTCAGAGAGACACCCAGCACACACACACAAATACATACCTAAAAATCAAGATCATTAAGTAAGCAAATGTGTTTAAACAGCAAACAAGCTACTGAAAAGCAGGGAAAGGTCACAAAATGTGAAATGAAAGCAGCTCTTCTGTTCCTCATGCCAGCAGCACTGGTCCTGCCTCAGAGGATACATTAAGAGTCAACCTTCATTTTGAGCAGGCTGCCTTTTGTCCTTCTATCACAACATTAACATTATCCCCACATAATTTTATGTATTTAATTTTACAATAGACTGTGTCAGTGAGCACTGCCTGTAAATATTTGATCACCACCGTTCCTCTAGGATTATCTTATCAAGAGTAAAGATATTAAAATAGAAATCTTGTCATATTGCTGCCTTTATACTTCCAGCCTAAGAATTGATTGACAGAAAATGAACTGCCCGAAGTAGCTGTAAAGTGTCTTTTCACTGAGAGTTTTAATGCCAGAGGCTATAGAAAAAAAGGTTTGCTAGTCATTGGGAACGTATGCCTTAGTTACAGAGCTTTTGTACTGAAGATTAAAAAATATGAATCTGCTAGGGGTATTTTTACAAGTGTAAAATGGCGTTGGTCTTTTTGTATCTTTTTGCCATCACTAATGAGCCTTAAAAAGAGCTTTTCCTTTTTTTGCTGCACTTGAATTTTAGATGCAGCTTCACTGCAGCTCACAGACACAGGCTGAAGTTTTGCAAGAACAAGCTCTTGACTTTCCTAACCTAAAAAATTTCTTTTTGGTGATAAAATGGCTTGCAAGCCAGGACTAAATGTTCTTGTCTAGCTTGGAATATCAAACCACTGTAGACAAGTCAAGGTTTCTATTTATGGCCAG